GTTATCTTTTTTGTTTTACTTTAGCTTATTTTGATTAATATGATAAGCTCTGCTTATTTCAATTTTCCTGCATAAGCAAGGATTCATGCCTCTTTATGGCTGATTGAAACCTCCATTTGAAATATAAGCCAAATATTTAATTTAATTCATCTGTTGATGAACACCTAGAGCAATCCAATTATGTGGTTATTGTGAAGTTTGCTTTCAATAAACACCTGTGTTCAGGCGTGTTTGTTATATATGGGCATGTTTCCTTGTGGTAAATTGTTAGGAGTAATATATCTAGATCACAATACGCTTTTCCTTTTCCTTTTTGAGGAAACTCAGTACTGATTTCCATAGGGACTTGACAATTTTCCATTTGCAGCAGTAGACTATATTGTAATATTTCCCTTGTACACATCCTAACAATAATTTGTTTTTATATGTTGTCCTAATATTGGCCATTTTTAACTATGCTGTAATGAAATCTCAGTGTAGTTTTGATTTGCATCTCCCTGATGGGAAACGTTGTTGAATTTTTTTTGTATGTTTATGAACTTTTGCTTTCATCTTTTGAGTTTCTATACATCCAATAGAACCATTTAGGAATATTACAATAATACTCTTCACAGAGATAGAATAATAATCCTAAATATCATATAGAGATGTAAAGAACCATGGACAAAACAATCATGAGAAATATAGAGATAGATGTATCACAACACTGATTTACATGTATTTTATACCTAGTTTATTTTGTATAATTTTACATTAATGATTTTTGAAGCAAAAGCTCATGAAACAAAATGCATGGAGGCATAACAAATGGGGTACAGAGCTAAACAGAATTCTCAATAGAGAAATATCGAGTGGCAGAGAAACATTTAAAGAAATTCTCAACATCCTTAGTCAACAGGAAAAGGCAAGTCAAAACACCCTGAGATTTCACCTTACACCTAGCAGAATGGCTAAGATCCAAAGATCAAGTGACAATACATGCTGGAGAGGATGTGGAGGAAGGGGAACCCTCCTCTATTGTTGATGGGAATGTAAACTTTTACAACCACTTTGGAAATCATTCTAGTGCTTTCTCAGACAATTAGGAATAGTGCTTCTTCAAGATCCAGCTATACCATTCCTAGGCATAAATCCAAAATATGCTCCAGTATACAACAGGGACATTTGCTCAACCATGTTTGTAGCAGCTTTATTCATAATAGCCAGAACCTGGAAACAACCTAGATTTCCCTCATTGGAGGAATAGATACAGAAATTGTGGTACATTTAAACAATGGAATACTACTCAGCAATTAAAAACAAGGAAATCATGAACTTTTGCAGGCAAATGGTGGAATCTAGAAAAGATCAATCAATGATATGTCAATGATATGTTATTAAATCAATCATTACTGAAATTCACGAGCTCCACTGAGAGTGTAGGAGATATGAAAGTGCTTTATTTCATGATAAAGTTTAGATATTATTCATGTTTGTCATAACAACTCTCTCTTTCATATATACAGATTCATAACAGAACTTGTGTTAGCATGGATTATTTCTGTACTATTATGTAGAGTGTTACTAATTTAAATTTTTACCCCTGCGATAATTTTAATTATTTTCTTTCATGCTTTGTTGCTTGTATATGGGTGTTTTGCCTGAACATATAACTGTCCACCATGTGCATACGGTAATCACAGAAGACAAGGAAAAAGATGTATGATGACCTCATATTTCTGTTCTGAAAGAGATACATTATTTCTTGCGGGGAAATTTTGTTCTTAAAAAAAGTCCTTGAGTTTTATTCTGAGATTCCATCCTACTTCTGTCAAAATGGCTATGATTTAATAATACAAGTGACAGCTCATGCCAGGATGGATGGGGAGGAAGAGAAACATTCCTCTGTTACTGATGAGAGTGCAGACTTGTACATCTGCTATGGAAATCAGCATGGCAGTTCCTCAAAGATTAAAATCCAGTTTCCTCAACATCCAGCTAGACCACTCCTGGGCATATAGTCAAATGGGTCTTCATCCTACCACAGAGACACTTGTTCAAACATGTTCGTGGCTGCACCATAGTGTATTACTCAGCTGTTAAAAACGTGAAATAATAAAATTGGAAGGCAAATGGATAGAACTAGCAAAATTTATCCTGAGTGTGATAAACTAGATCCTGAAAGGTAAATATTTGATACATATTTTCTTATATCTAGATCTTATCAAATAATAAATGATAATCAAGCTACAATCCATAGTCCCAGAGATGTTTAACATAGTGAAAGGGACTAGGTTGGACACCAATTTCTGATTTGGCCTAAGATCCGCTCTGTGAGATAGAACCCATACGTGACACTGGGTGAAGAACCAGTCTAAGTAGCCCAGAGACCTAGAATAAAGCCAAATACCATTGGCCTAAAAAAAAATCAACACAATAGCTCTGAATGATATTCCGCCATGCTTATATTCATGTCATATTCAACCAACGTCAGAGAGGCTTCTTCCTGAAGCAGATGGTAACACATATAGAGAATAACAGCAAAACATCGTGCAGAGAATGAAACCCTGGAACACAAAGCTTTACTTATTTATTTTTATATCTAAAAACATACTTTTCATATATATCTATATGAAAAAATCCTAATAAAAAGGGTCTGATAATGTGTTAGCATATACATTGAGTCTCTGAAAGTAATATAATTTGTAGTTTCTGAAGATCCTGATATCTAACGAGAAAATGCTATAAGTCCTTCTTCCAAGAAGGCCTTGAACACACAACGTTAAATGAAGTGTCTGCATCAAATATTTTTTCCTCAGATTCCAGAGAACCCTGACAATGAGAAATAAGAAGGAATGTGGGAGACAGAGGGAATGGAGAACACCAAGAGAACAAGTCCAACTATGACAACTGAGCAAAGCTCATATGAACTCACAGAGACGGAAGCAGCATGCACAGGGCCTATAGAGGTCTGCACGAGGTCCTCTGCATAATACACTAGTTTTAATATGTACCTCGATGATTTCTCCATGTCCCATGACTCATAATAGACCGTAGACTGCTTGGCCCTGAGTGAGACTTCTACATCATACTACCTAAGTTCGAGGCTCAGGTATCATCATGGAAAGACAAAAAGAACTAGCAGCTGTTAACGAGTACAATGAAACCCTGTTTTAAAAACACAACAGGGTAACAGCACGTATGAATGCTCAGTAGTTCTTAGAACACACACAAAATTGAGCCATCTCATCCACAGAGTGTATGATGGTCAGTATATTACACAAGTATCTGAGGAGTTACCGGTAATAGCTAGGAAAGAAATATTCGTTTCCCTTTCAAGACACAGGCATTGAAAGGGTATGCATGCTGCTTGGATGGCCATATATCCATGAGCATGCAGGCAAGGACGGAAAGGAGTCAGTGAGGGGAAAGGGAAACACACACACAAAGATAAAGAATGAGGGTAGGGGAGGGAGAAAGAGAGAGAGAAAGCTGAGAAATAGTATTTTTGGAGTGATGGGGAGAAATAATAGGGGAAGAACTGGAATGGAGGGAACGGGGTTGACTGTGTAATGGGGTCCTAGTGTGCTGGAAAACAAACCCGGACCTCTGCAAGAGCAAAAGCTTCTTTAGACCATTGAACTATCTCTTCAGCTTCACAATAGTAACTTTTTTTTTCTTTTTTTATTCACACATACCAAGAAGAAAGCTCTTTTTTCCTTGACTAGTAGCACTGTTGTGGAGATGCAAAGTTATGGGCCACATACATAAGCCTGTGACATTTCTTTCTTTATGCCTGCTCTTGATTTCAGTCACTCAATTCTATAATAATTCTACAAATATTGTATAATTACAAATTTTATGTTGGAAAAGCCTATGTGGGTGAGTAAATGGCCTTAGCATTACAACTCTTGAGTGATAAACATCAAGCAAATTCTTCGCTGGAGGGTCTAATTTCTGGAAAATGGCTGAATGAAACTGAAACTGGCCACTCGAGTGAAGCATTTTATTGATATGTAACACTGAGTTGTCATTCTCCAGAGCCACCACGGAGGCAAAACTGCACATTCTCTTAAGGACTAAAGGCAGTGATAAGAGACTCATTTGTTCTTCAAGTCTGAAAATATTTACATCATCAAGAGTGACACTAGAAGCAGTAGAAGAGTGGAAACAAGATGGGAGCCTTCAATGTCCTTATCTGTGGCCTAGCAAGGCTGTCCTGAAGATACCTGATAAGCTAGGGTCAGGTGGAAGGGCAGGAGGACCTTCCCTATCAGTGGACTTGGAAGGGAGCAGGGAGGAGATGAGGGAGGGAGGGTGAGATTGGGAGGGAAAGAGGGAAGGAGGGTAGGGGCTACAGCTGGGATACAAGTGAATGACCTGTGGATAAAAAAAAAAAAAAAAAAAAAAAAAAAGATGGGAGCCTTCTATAGAAGATACTCTGAAAGGCCCCACCCAATAGGGACTTGAAGTAGATGCTGAGACTCCCCAACAAACTTTGGGCAGAGCACAGGGATCATATGGAAGAAGCGGGTGGGATGAATAGAAGGACCAACAAAGCCAAAAAGCTGAGACCAGGGTTTCTTGCAGAGACTGATAGACCAACCAAGGACCACATATAGGGAGGACCTAGACTCTCTGCTCAGATGTAGCCTATAGGTAGCTCAGTCTCCATGTGGGTCTCAGAGTAAAAGAAGCAGGGGCTGCTTCTGTCATGAACTCTTTGATCACTTGCCCCTGGTGATCCGGCCTTGCCAGTCCAGAGGGAAGAGGATCCAGGCAGTCCTGATGAGACTTGGTAAGCTAGGTGCATATAGCGGGGGAGGAGAACTCCTCCTTTCAGTGGACTAGGAGGATAGGGAAAGGGAGAGAGGGTGGTACAGGAAAGAGTTGAGAGACGGGGCTATAATTGGGATATAAAATGAATAAATTGTAAAAATAAAATAATAATAAAAACAATAAAAGAAATGTAATAAATCTGTTTTAAACCCCGGCTCCCCCAGAAAAGAGTGGCAACATTCACTGCCGCTGGAAGCATCAAAGGTGTGTCTGCTGTGTCATGTGTGTGTCAGGAGGTGGCAGAGAGGAGAGAGCCTATGTCTACTGCTGCTCTTCTGAACTGTGAACATCTGAATAATTATTAGTAGCCTAACTTTTCCTGAAAAAGCCTGAGACAACCAGCAGGGAGGAGCCACGTAGGCACTGACCTGTTCCCAAGATGGGGACTGAGTCTCTTGCTGTCTGGAGCATTGAATAGGTGTGCTAGGGCTGGGCAGAAGAAACCCCCAGTGGTGTTGGTGCAGGAAAGCTGGTAAGCTGACTCGCTCAAAGACCTCTCAGGCCCAGACCGAGGGCTTTAAGTTGGGCCACGCCAACATCTATGCCATTAATGAAATCCTGTCGTGCGTGATGGGGCATGTCCTACAAACCAAAATTACAATAGAATGCCCATGACACAGGGCAACAACACGATATCCAACAGGAGACCCAGTGAGGTTCCAGTCCAGTCTAGCGGAAGCTAGAGGTCTCTTCCCAGACCATCAACTCATTGAAATCAAAATTTGCAAGCAAAGAAGTGCGGACACAAGTGCATACTGTGGAACACATTGTGACACTACAGCTTCCAGGAGATTTTTCTCTCTGTGGCCAGGGTGAGGTTGCAAGGGTGGAGGACAGGTATGAGGGGAAGGGGAGATGCATGGGATTATGATGCATGATGGGAAATTCACAAAGAACTGATTAAAAGTATTTTTTAAGAGTGAAAGTGTTTGCAAACTCTTTAATGTTTTTCATTAATTTTTTTAAGTGAAATGTCATACTGAGCAGCACTTGACAAGCTAAAAGCCACTTTAAAGACCTTTGAAACAATCTATTTTTGTTTTGTGAATGGATTTTTTGCCTAAATATATGAATATGTACCACCCATGTGCTGGGAAGCCAGAAGATGCTTCCTGTCACTGGAGGTATAAAGCAATGTGAGTCTATTTGTACGTCCAGAAAATTTAATCTTGCTCTTCTGCTAGATGAACGGGCATGCAACCACTGAGTCTTCTCTGTGGCCCATGAGAAAATTAGCTATGAAATGTATGTGACCTGCTCTTGTTATTTTCATCTTTGTGTTTGTATCATGTGTATGTGTTGTACATATGTGAGTTGAGTGGTGTCTGTGTCCATGAGTGCAAATGTAGAGGCTAGAGTGGGACATCTTTTGTCCTCTTCTACATTCTCTGCCTATGGCCTTGAGACAGGGTTTCTGACTGAACAAAAATCTCTCATCATTTTAGATAAACTAGATGAGTACCATCTACCTGTCAAGATCTAACCATATCTTCCCCAAGTGGTGATATTGCAGTATCATGGAAGCAGGGTCAAACATTTTTCTGTGAGAGCTGGGAATTCAGACTCATGCTCTCGTGCTTGCTGAGCAAATGTTCTTAGCAATAGAGTTTGTTCTTTAGGGAAAATACATTATTGCTTCAGATAGAACCTTTTGTTTTCTTGATGAACTCAAGAAACAAGAACTGTGTTCAAGAACTATTAAATTTAACTGGTCAAGAAAAGCAGTGTCTCTTCATGAATTATGTGAACAACAGTGATCTTTAAAAGAAAAGCAAGTGTTTTAAAGCAACCTTACAGGAGGCATCTTAGTATTGTAATTCTTGAATATTAGAATGAACTTTAAAAAAATTCTTTTGAAACAACCCACTTAAAATTCTGTGTCATTCTAAAATTCTATTTCTTGCATTATTCAACAATAAAAAACAATAGTATAAAAATATTAAAGTGTGTAAAAATCCAATTCTTCAGAAACATATAAGATCTCATACATGTTAAAAACAACTGCATTGATAGTCTCTCTTCCTACTAAATTTGATCTTCACTGAGATAAAAAGGCAGTATATGTTCAAATTGCTTCTGTTTAATCACAGTACCCTGTAGCCTATGGTCAAACCAAAAGGTGGTAAAACTACTAAAGATGCTCTGGAGAAGCTTGTTAGAAGATATCAATTAATATATATTGCCAGATCTTGCCCATGGCAGTTTAGTGTCCAAGTGGGTTCCATAGTAATGGGAAGAGGGACTGCCTCTGACATAATCTGATTGCCTGCTCTTTGATCACCTCCCCCTGAGGGGGGAGCAGCCTTACCAGGCCACAGAAGATGACAATGCAGCCACTCATGATGTGATCTGATAGACTAAGATCAGAAGGAAGGAGAGGAGGATCTCCCCCATCAGTGGACTTGGGGAGGGGCATGCGTAAAGAAGGGGGTGGGAGGGGAGGAGGGAGGGGAAGGGGGAGGGGCTTATGGGGGGATACAAAGTGAATAAAGTGTAATTAATAAAATTAAATTAAATTAAAAAATATATATATATCTTGCCAGATTGTTGTTGTTTAATATGCTGCTGTTTTCACAGTCAGGGCTATTGAAATATTAATAACCTAAGTCCCTAGAATTTAAATGTCTTAAAACTTCTAAGACATACACTACTGCTGTGTTTATTATAGGGCAATTTTTGAATAGTTCACTTTTATTTCATTGTAAGTGGAAGTTATGAGGTGGCAAATAGGCTTTCTCCTGATTTGATATCAAAGATGATGACGCATTGTACTGGTACAACTCTGTGTAGCCAAGTGCAGAGAACTTTTACAAACTGAGCAGTTCTCCAAATTTGTGAAGCACCTCTTGTAAAACTCAACATGTCTTAGGACAAAGTTTGACCCATTTCCTAGAGTTCCCCAGGTAAATCAAACTTACTTATTGCAATAGGAAAAGCATGTGTGGCATATTCTTTTAGGTCCTAATAAGCCATTGTCAAAGATTATATTTACCACTTTTATGATTAAAACATTGTGTTAGCTAAGGGTAGAAGGGCTTTCTGGTCAGGATAGAGAATGTACAGCTTATTAATATTGATTATATTTTGTGAGAAAAAAATTGTTTCACATTAGGGTGATGCCAGTGAAGAGAAACTTGTTGGAAATCTAATCATTTTTCCTATATCATCCTGCAAGTAGAAATTGGCATATTTGGTGATAATTTATTGTGTATACCATACACTTTTATTAATCTTAAAATAAAACTCTCTACATAAATTATGCTACATAAATTTGTAAACATATTTTTATTTTAATGCATCAAAATATTTGCTACACTACCTTATACAATAGTTAGCCTTTGGATGTCATTATTATGTTTAGATGTTATGTTGCATTTGATAAAAGAGGTATTTCTCAAAAAATCATCATAAAGAAAGACATGCAGTCATTTAAATTAAAAAAAGATCTTTGATAAGTTATGGAGGTTTATAGTCAGTCTCGCAATGGTGTTAGTCTAGAGAGATGTGAACAATCATTGCAGAATCAATTAAATGTAATTAAAGACTTCAATTTGTGCATCAAATATTTTGGCTCAATATTAATTTGCCACCTGTGTCTGCTTCCCCTTCCAATGTATACAAACTTGCTGCAAACGAGCTGGACTGGAGGGAAAAGAGCCTACCTACCTCAGGTAGGTGGATGAAATACAAAATCTCAATCGGTGGTGAGTGTCCAAGATACAGCCTTCTCAGGGTGAGACAGTTAATTTAATTGGGAGAGGAGGGGACAAAGGCTATTTAATCCTTTGTGGAGTAGGTGGAATCTTTGAGGTGGAGTGTACATCATTGGCTGGGGCCAAGTTCCTGGGAATGCACTAGTTGTGTGAAGAGGAATTCCAGATGCTTGCAGGACAAATAGAGTGGAAATTTAACCCATACCTTGGCTGCCAGGCTATTTGATCACCTCAAGTGTGGCAGAGATGGGGGACATAAAGCTATGTAGGGAAGTGGGAGCAGCCCTACCCATGTTGGTCTCAAGACAAGATTTCAGGGTTTGGACATTCTTCAAACCTATTTGTTGCCCCAGGCTGGTTCCTGTAGTCATTCTCATAAATTACCAAAATACTGAAATATAAAAACTATTAGGATATGATGAAACAAATTGCTTAACTATATGAGAATATAATAGTGCATTGAAATGTAAACATTCCTCCATTTTCTTAGTTTATGAAAAAAAAGAGGGAGGGGGAGATTTACAATGAGTAGGGAATCACCAAGTTAGCAAAAGTGAAAGACAGAAAGTGAAACAAGAAAGAGAGAGGAGAGACAGTGAAGCAGAACTACAGGCAACTAAAGAATGCTGAGATATGAACAAAGTCTTCTCCAGTGAAGAACACACCAGATTGATTTTCAATGCCAAATGGTCAGTCCGAAAAACATATATGCATGTAACATTATACAGACTGAGCAGGTTTTATTTAATAGTATGCCTATATAGGCAAATATGCATGTAAAAACAATTGATTAAAGAAAAAGCGGTCAAGAATTTAAAAAATAGCAAGAAGGGTTTTTTTTTTTTGTGAGTGTTTGGAGGGAAGAAAGAGAAGGGGGAAGCAAAAATTACACTATAAGGAGTTAATTTTTAAGAATTACTTAATGGCATGTCTTTCAGCAGTGATTTAATCAGAAACAACTGAAAGCTTATTAATTATTAAATCAAACTGACACATGTAGTCTTTCACAGCAGAAACAAAACAAAAATCTCTGCATATTAAAAATAATATTCAAAATCATGCCTGCTCTAATATTAGAAAATGTATACAACCATAATTTATTTTAAAGTTAGTCTCAATAAGATAAATGTTACATATTTTTTCTTGTTAGTAGGTCCTAGATTTTCGTTGATATAAAGGTTACGCATGATTATATACTACAGAGTATAGTGAACAGATGCATTCAGTCAGAGAAGTTAGACAGAGGGAGCTTATCAAGGGATAGCCGTGAATAAGCAGTGTATATTTGGATTGAAATGTGACTATGAGACATAGTATTACTTGAAGAAAAACATTCATGGATTTGAAAGAGAATAAGGAGAACACTTAGATATAGAAAAGGGAAGGAGAAATGTATTTATATTTTGATCCAAAAAATAAAAAACAATAGAAATTGAAAGGTGTCCTTGCATTTTATTTATGCAGTGAGATGACCACTCAAAATAGACTTTTATTCAGCATTCAGAGGGTGTTTTGTGAGAATAAAGTTCCAATAGCAGCAATATTATAGATTCCATTAGTATATTATTCCTGTGTACTTCTTTCATGTGAGAGTTAATTACATA